AATAATAATAATAATAAAAACAACCAGTGTACACCTCCCTACATCAGGAGTATACTCTGGCCACTATCCATGTGTCATTTCTGGCCAACAAGATGGGTAAAGGAAGCCATTCAAGATTAGTTTCTCCTAGTGTAGAGGAGGTTTGTACTTGCTGGCCTCAATATGGCATTCTCCCCTATACACTTTTCCTCAGGGTTTTTGCCATCCTCAGGGTTTTTTCCTGCCCAAAGACAAAGCCTTTCCTGTCATGCCCTCCTGCTTAATGGGATGTCCCTCCTAGTGAGGATCACCCGGCACCAGCAGTGATGCCACTGTCCAGGAAATTCTGGGAGTTAATAGTCTGAAGAGCACTAAGTTAAGAATTGCTGGGGGAAACCATCTTCAGCTTGATGTGCTCCCTCAATAGAAAGCAACTTCCCATGTTCCATAGCTATGGCAGTCCCTGAAAGCAGCAATCCTTGGGTCTCCTCCTCTCTTCTGTCCTGACAACATATTATCAGCTTGTGTTGAGTCCTTGACTGGACTTCATTAGTTGCGCTTTCAGGCAGTAGGAAATTCAACACAATGACATGCCATGTTTAATTTGACTAGATCTCACCAGAGGGAGGACAAACATGGGACAGCTGCTCTCCATGGCAACCAAATTGCAAATTTCCACATACATCATATACCCCATGTATGAAAGTTTATGTGTCACGACTAATGTTAGAAGCCTCTGAGCCAAGAACCGAGTTTGGATGCTTCATTTTAAAGCACTGACTACTTCTGTGGGTCAGCAACAAGGTGACTGTGGGCACCGCATTGCCCCCAAGGTGCCCACCGAGGTTCACTACTCTTCTCATGATAGAAAATGTTGCTCCTTCTCTTCCCTTTCCTCACCTCAGGTGCCTAAAAAGGAGCAGAGCTCCAGCCTTCAGTTGCTTTGCCCTTCTATTTTTTCCCCTCAAGCACATTTCTGGAACCTGTCGCCCTTCTAATCACCCAGAATAGCCCTTTGCTTTTCTTTCAGTTGCCCAAACGGTCTCTGGGCCCCACTGTGTTCTAGCTGCCCCGACAGTGACAAAAGACCTCTTCCAGCCAAACGGTCTCTGGGCCCCACTGTGTTCTTCTAGCTGCCCCGACAGTGACAAAAGGCCTCTTCCACATATCTTAAGGAAGGGAAAACAAAGGGCCTTTACCTCTGTCAGGGCCAGGCCAAATGATGGCCTTCCAGATGCTTCTGGGCTACAGAGTCCCAGCCCTCCTCACTATTGGCTGTATCCATTAAGTGCTGATGGGAGCTGCAGAGCAACATGATCTGAAGGGAGCCATTTTACCGTTCAAGGTGAGCTGCACCTACCGTAGGTAGGGAAGATGTAACTGAACACTGCTCTCAAGTCTTCGTTTTTAGTGTACTCTGCCACCACTTCTGAAACACTTTTGGATGCCATCCTGAAGAAAGGAGAGATCAAGGCCAGCATGCCAGTCCACTGTAGAAACCTGACTAAGGGCAGCGGGACCATTTTCGCGATAGCCATGTGGTGAATTCTTTCAGCTGTTCTCTGCAGGGTGCAAGAAGACAGCAAGAGAGAGCAAAACACTGTGATGCATCAGGAGTAGCACTTGGAAACACTCCTTCATTGCACTACAGATCTCAGAATTCCCTAGTTAGTCTGGTTAGTGCCTCAGGTATTCTAGGAGTTGTAGTCCAAGCAGGTCGCTCAAAGCAAGATGACCTGAACACTACAAATATCTTAACTGCTGATTTGCTTTTGTTGGCCAGAGGAAAATCCCCAGATAACTCTGTGCAAAGGAAGGTGATACAGTGTTCCCAAATGTGGAAGGAGTACAACTCCCATCTCCTCTAACTATTTGCCCCTGTGGTTGGGGATGATGGTCATAATAGTCCAATAGCATATGGAGGACCACAGGTTGCCAATACAATGGGACATGAGCCGTGCATCTAGTGCACACTCTGTATTCGGAAGTCCCAGATTCAACTGCTGGTCATGCTGGCTGGGCAACTCAGGAAGCCCCTTGACACTGGTCAGACCGTTTGATCCACCTTGCCCAGTCATATGTTTCAACCCCAAGGCATGCCTAGCCCTACCTGGAGATGCCAGGGATGGAATCTGCCTGCCAGGCAAGGGCTCTACTGTTGCCCTGCAGCCCATCCCAGTTGTAGGTCAATACAATGGGGGAGGCTCCAGGCTGGGGAAGGCTGCCAAAAAACAACTATTTGGCAAGTCAGCACACTTTTTTTTTTTTGCTTGATTCAAATACTTCAAGACAAAAGCAATCATTTGATTTAAGGGCCCTCCCCACTCCAATAGAATGAAATGATGTTCTATCACAGCAACTTTAAAAAGGATCACCTTCACAAGCGCCAGATATCTGTCAATATTAGCATCCTCCCCAGGGAATTGTTTCTTTAGTCCTTCGACGTATTCCTTCTCCCCACTGTTTAAGTAATACCTCTTGCCCTCATCGGGGTCTCCCAGAATGACTATGTCAAAGGGAGACTCCATCTTGGCCCACTGGAGCTGTCCATCTGTGAGCTGGTCAATCATGATGCGGAGGACAGAATCCCCGTCCATCTGCCCCACATAATGGATTCCTGGAAAGCAACCAACCAAATGTTATAAACGAAAGAGAGATCCTGCTTCCAGACAGATCTTAGAAAAATTACTTTTACTAGGTATTTCATGATAGGGCCAAGGCTCTACCAGATACTAATTGCTGTTATATTTTCTAGAAGGAACCCTTTACTTTTCTGTTTTTTGTAAATGATTGCTTTCACTTATTTCAAAAAACACCCAACTCCTGGAAAAAAAATTTTAAAATCATAATTGATGTAGTGCATCAGTGATAGTTTTTTAAAAACGTTTTTCACTTTTCCTGCCTCCTGCCAAACAGGGGAATTGACTCCTTTGCCAATACTGTAAAGTGGCTTGCTTATTTAACCACTTCACAATACTGGCAAATTGAAAGAGGAAGTATTGCTTTGGATCAGTCCCAGTCATCCCATGTGCTAGAACTGATCTAAGTCAGGGTGAATTTATCTGCATCAGAAATGTAGGGGCCCCTTAATAGGGGCCAGGAAGGTGTGGGTAGAAATGCTCTGGTGGCAGGCAAAGATGTCGGCAAAGAACCATCTTTTAGAACGCACCAGCAGCACTCCAAACAGCAAGCTAACCAGACCATGGAGGGCAGCCTCTTAGACTCAAAACAAGGCATAATCTTTGGAAATCCATGATACAATCGCCTATGTTTCTGCCTTAGAGAGTTTTTTTTAGAGTGTGTTTTTTAGAGCAGTAGCTATATGCAGGGTGGAAAATCTCAGATTGGGGCCAAAGAAGGGAGGTTAAAGGGAAATCTCTGCTGAAATCTGTCCTCTACCCACTGAATGTACCATTTGCCCTATGGGGGAAATTATATTGGTGCAGAACAGCTGGAAGTCCACCTCATCCAACCACAGCCTAATGCGATTCAGTCACCAGAGAGTGAAGCACACAGACATCCACAGCTAATTATATTTGGTGGGAGGGAATGAAGTATGGACTGTGTGAAGTAGTGGTTAGAGTGATGGACAACTCAGAAGAGCTGGAGCCTACTCCATAAGGAGCTATGAATCTCAGTCAGGTGACTCTGAGCTAGCCGTCTCTCTCAGCTTCGCCTACCTCCAAGGGTTGCTTTGAGGATAAAGCAGGAAAGAGGAAAAGTAGTGTATTCCTTGAGCTCATGGGAGAGAAAAAAAGGAGGGGTGGGGTTTTTAACTAATCATAAATATTTATTTTATTTATTTATTTTGATGTTGCATTTCTCAGAGAACTGGGACCCAAACTGACCTCCAAAACAGTCAAAAAAACAACAACACATTAAAATACAATGCAGTTAAAAATATTAAAATAGAATTCAGCTTGTTCTATATTTAGAACACAATTATAAACCCTCTAACATCTTGTAATTAAAACACTAACAGAAAAGAGTAACCCAATATAGTGACTAAAATCTAGAGGTTTGAACAACTAAAGACCTGCCTAAATATCTTTGCCTGCTCCTGGAAGAGCAGAGAAGAGACAAACAGTTCCAGATTCACAGAAGAAGCCCTCTTTTGAGTTCCCACCAAACAGGTCTCTGACGGTGTCAGGACTGTGTGAAGGTCTTTCCAGCATATCTCAAAGTCCTCCTGGAGATTCCATCATGGATGGCCAACGTTATTTCATCTTTAATTTAACGATTGTAGAATTGAGATTTTCTTGTGCCAACGTTTTTGGTTGTGACTTTACTCATTCCCAATATAGTATGTTCAGATGATAGACCAGGCTTATTGCTACCTACATTTATATGTGCATGCAAAAATGGCAGCCATTCTCTCCTTACTTTTCTCCGTTGCCTTACCTACATCGAACTCAAAACCTTTCTCATTGAAGGTATGGCAGCAACCACCCGCTTTCCCATGTTGCTCCAGGACCAGCACTCGCTTCCCCGCTTTCGAGAGCAACACGGCTACAGCCAGGCCCCCATAGCCACTTCCAATGACAATGGCATCCAGGTTGTCTGGAACTTTATCCCTGGAAAAGACTGGAACAGATGAACAAAAGCATTTTCTGATGAAATATCATAGCTAGGCTAGGTATGGCACTGTAAAGGAAGACATGAAAAGGCACATAATCCGAAAGGTATAATCCTCATCCTTTCCCACTCAGTGTTACTGTCCCTACCATGTCTGGATGTAATCCTGTTGCTATAATCCCTGACTCCTTCTCCAATCTCCCCTTCCTGTTGGTTCTCCTAATCTGTTCCATCACGTACAAAATTAGACTATGTGTGGGAACTCTGATCTGCCAGAACAGATACCCAGAGGTAACTCTCTCTCTCTCAATGTCTCTCCCCCGACTCCCGCCCCGGTATGTCTATAGTGAGTCTCAGTAGAGGATGTCTTGGTAGAGGCTACCCTCAAGATTGGACAAGTGACTTGACATATATGGAGTGAGAAATGCCAGATGCTGAGTCTAGATTAAGAAAAGGAAGAAGCACTAGAGATTATACTGTAAATATAAATTGGCTATTGGAATATATCAGAACATTTCAAAACATCTGCCTGTGTTATATAGGTTACAGTAAAGTATTTTGCTCATGAAAAGCTTGCAATTACTTTAGAAGAAGTAGCTGTGCCAGAACATTTGATTGTCTTGACATGTAAACCATATTCTGGACAAGAGGCAATGCTGAGGACAGCTTTTTGTTGACAAAACTGTCAAACAAAGGTGCATTGTGTTTCCCTGTCTGTTCTGTCTATATGCAGAATATATCATACAAAAATCTGGATTAAATGCAGAGGAAGGAGGAAAATTAGTGGCATAAATAGCAATCGTTTAAGATACACAGATGACACCGTTTTATAGGCAAAGTATAGAAAAATATAAAACAAATGCTGATGAAGATTAAAGGAAAAATAAAAAAGCAGAATTAGAGATGAACATTAAAGCAACAACAAAGAAGACTATAGGAGAATTATATAATTTAAATGTGGACAATGAAGAAATTATTCAATGAAGAAGTTATTCAAGATTTTTGGTTGAATTATCAGTCTAGATGGAGACTGAATCAGAAGAAGATGGAGAGACACAGGAACAGCTACGGAAGAACTCAAAAATATCCTTAACTATGAGAATTTGTTGCTGGAGACAAAGATCAAGACAATCTTTATTGCGGTATTATTCATTACAAGTGTGAAACATGGACAAAGAAGAAAGCTGACGGGCGGTGAATCTGGACCAGGTACCAATTTAAGTCTGAACTTTCAGTAGAAGTTTAAAAAAAACTAAACTGAGGTTATTTTATTTCCGCCATGTTGGCTGAAATCCTACTGATTAAAATAATAAGTTACTCTAGAATCAATAGGGTCAACTCCTTATGGGGTGAGTCAACTCCTCAATAAGTTCAAATAGACCTACTCTAGTTGTGACTTAGTACGCTGAGGTAAGTCACAATTAGACTAGGCCCATTTGAATCAGTGGCACCGAAGAAAGAGTTGACTCACCAAATCCCCTCTGATTGAATGGGCCTTACTCTAGTGTGACACTAAGCAGCATTTCAGCAATGATAAGACAAGATTCACTGGAAAAGACAATAATACTTTAAAAAGTTGAAGGTAGTAGGAAAAGGAGAAGACCTAAAATTAGAT